CCTTGGGCTTTCAGTGGTGTTTCTCAGAGTCCTAGTAGGACTCCTAAGCTTTTTTAGTGCACTAGTTAGAAGGCAGATAACAAAGCTTTACAACTGCATGGGAACTTTCTACTAAGTAATTCAGAGAGGTGAGAATAATCATGAAGGCATGACGAGAAACCACAGGGCTGGGAAGCACACTTAGCCTGCAAGGGTTCTTCCTGAGTTCTTGCCCCTGCTGCCAACCCACACATGCTCAGGGCTAAATTGGATGCCTGTTTCCTTATTGTGTTCCCAGTAGCTGCTGGTTCCCTTCGAAGGGCAGCTCTGAACAACTGCATACATAAAGATACATAGTTTTTGTTTTTCCAAAAAGTAGAGAGAGCTGTGAAGCAGTGTCCTAGTACCCATGGACGTGGGCACAAAACTGGAACTGTGGTGTGCAGACCACTGTAGACCACTGTCGACTCAGAGAGAGCACACTTTTCCCTAATGTCCTTTCCTGAAACATTCTCCCAAAACATTTTATGATGGTTATACTTAATTCTTTGCATAAAGACTTAAAGTTTATAACTAAATTGTGTAACAGTGGATTTGAATATAGTTTTTCTTCCAGATAAATGGACAGACATTTTAAAATAATCTTTAAAATTTATGAATAGGTTTACATAATAATTAATGAAGAAATTACTAGTCTAAATTGTGAAAGCAAGTTTTGGGGTTTTTTTTGGGTATGCATCATCAATTTATGTATTTAATTGGACATGCCCTACATACATATCCAGAACTATCTCCCTAATTGACTGAAGGGCTGACTGCCTAGGACCATCATGGTTTCAAGAGGGCAATTGCTTTTGTCATTTCTTTATGCCTGGCCTGCCTGGAACTTAGCAGACAGCTGTAATTATTGTTAATTGCTGTAGAGACTTACTATGTGGCAGGCACAGCAGTAAGCTTCCCAGTTACTGATGAGTATTTGCTGAGAGTTGAAGAGAGATATGCTCATTCATTGCTTCCAGCTTCCTCTGCTCCCCACAAGAAAGTCTCTTACTTAGCGAGAGTAGGAGCCTGGATATTTATGGTGATTTCATTATTTTTTTCCTCATGGGTAGATTTTGATAATATTCCTAACAACCCTTTGCATTAAATATGAAATTGAGTTGATAATCTTAACTAGGGCCTTCTGGAAGGAGTTGAGATTTAATCATAGTTTAGTAAGTTTATAGCAATTCCAATCCAAATAGATATCTTGGCAATCTCTCTTTGATGCTGTATCTGGATATTAGGTACAATTTGTAACAATATCATAATATAAATTCACTCAAGAACTATTAAAAAGAATCTCCATTCAACCTAATATTGTTATCATTTGGAGAACATATTACAGGTTTTAATCTGCTAGTCATTAAACTTCTTTAAAGATTGATTTCATGCACCATTAGAATGCATTTGCCATTTATAAAATATTAAGCTCACAACACCCAAGAATTATATCTGCTCGTTCTTTTTATTATAAAAATTGACCTGAATAAATAAATCTATTACAGGTATATGCTTAGCCTGATTAAACTAAAATGGCAAACTATTATGGTTTAATAGCACATGTATTGTACATCTTTTTTTAATAAATTATATAGTTATTCAAACCAGAGTGAAGGCCATGCTGCTGAAATGCCTTCACTCACAGCTCATTTGCTTACCAATACTTTAAATATGCAGACATATAGAGAAAGTCACACACATATACATGCCTTTTATTTGTAGGCTTGTGGGCTTTTTTTGTTTTTTAAATAGCTTCTGTGTTCTTACCTCTCTTCCATCTTGTACCTTCTGTTTCCTCTCCATGTCTCTTGATGTCTCCTGCATGCATGCCTCAATTCTTTCTCCTCTTCCTTTCTTTCCCTGGAAATCTCATCTATACCTAGCTATAGGTTGTTCAGCTTCTTATTACACCAATCACAGCAAATACATCTTCACACAGTATACAAATATCCCACAATAATGAACCACTGTGCTTGGCTCAGAAACTATGTCTTCTGATTGCCCTAATTAGTGGTGAAGATGGTAAAAATCCAGTGAATATCATTTTGATATATTTTAACATAGGAGAATGATACATATGAAACTCATTATTTTTGTTTTATTCTTTGATAGCATCATATGTGTATGTAATGAATTTTATTTGTTTTCAGCCTCCATACTTTCTCATTCCTCTCCCCTCTCTCACTGATACCTTCTTCCCAACAAGTCTCTTTCCTATTTTCATGTGTGTACATGCGTGTGTGTATGTGTGTGTTTATGTGTGTGTGTGTGACTCACTAGGTGTAAATGAGTTTCATTATGGTTGTTGCTTGAGCATGAGTTGGAGTTATTTATTGATGCATGTGCAACTTATCAGTGTTATACCATTGCGGGAAAATGATACTGTTCCCTAATCAATCATTAACCACCAACCAATAACCCCTAGCGGAGGGGTGTGACCTCATGAGCTCCTCTTATCCATGATAAAATGCTGACTGGCCAAATCTTGTTCAGGTCTTATGTATGTAACCATACTGCAGTGAGTCCCTGAATGCAATGTCTATGTCATGTCTTTTATCATTTAAATTTTTATTCATTGCAGAATTACATATGTGACTACTATATAAATATATAGTAATATAAATATCATTTCAACCCCTCCATTAATCCCTTTGTAATGCCTCCTGTGTCCCTGCTCCACTCTGACCCCAATACGTAAGAATAAGGGTCCTGAACTGTGAGGTATTGAAGGGGAGGATCAGGGATGAGAAAAATAAAGAAGACAGAAAGCTGGAATCAAGAGGTCTGCATGAGCAGATGACTCCTACTTGAAGCTTATGAAGAAGTACAGTGTCTTATACACGGTTTGCAGTGGGGAATGGGACAGAGTCAGCAGAAAGCTGTTACACAATGGAATGGAGTCAGCAGGAAACTAATCAAGTGATATTGTACAACGGGAACACAGGATTTCTCAAGTGTGTCATTGACCAGGCACGCAGCAGCCTGGGGACTGATAGCAACAGCCTTTTAGTTGGGGGAAAGAGTTAGGTTCCCAGGTACCAAAGGCCTTAACCCTTCAAGGCCCTGGCTCCTGTAACATGAATCTTAAAAGGTCTTATTAATAAAAACAAACCTGGAGCCAGATTAGTTATAACTTTTTATTTTTTTAATTTTTATTAGACATAAAAAGGGGAAATTTTATTTGTGCTGAAATGTGGTGATACTTTATTTGTATGTTAATAAATAATGTTTGCCTGGAGATCAGAGGAAATAGCAAGCCATTTAAGTAAACACAAAAGTCAGGCAATGTTAGCACACACCCTTAATCCGATCACTTGGCAGGCAGGGTCTCTGTGTGTTCAAGGCCACACTAGGGAATGGAGCCAAGCTTGGTGACACATACCTTTAATCCCAGTACCAACCACAGAGTCCTGGAGGTCTGTACAGACAGGCAGTGACAAGGAAGTGAGGTAGCTGGGCTAAGAGCCAATGAGAGGTCAGAACAGCAAGGCAATAAAAGCCTGGGTAGACAGGAAGTCATGACACTTGGAAGCTGTGGTGTGGTGAGGTAAAATTAGCTGGTGGCTATTCCTATTTCCCTGACCTCTAAGGCTTTCACCCCTATATTTGGCTCCATGTTTTTTACTTAATAAGACCGCTTAGAAATTCGTCTATAGGCTCCAGACTCATACCACAACTTATCAAGTCTGCTCCTGAGCAAGGACACAGAACTAGTGTTCCTTTTGTCCTTTCATCTGGGCCTCTGAGAAAGCTTTGGATTGGCCTATCCCCCAACCCCACTCCCTCTCGAATTTATGATTCTTCTATAATTGTGATTGGTTTACACACGGACACACACACACACACACATGCACACCCACACACACCATTTAGTGTTGCTCATATGTGCATGTGTTTATGGTTGACCACAGGATTATATAACCTATCAGAGGGGCTTGTCCCTGAAGAAGACTGGTCTCCCTCTTTTGACAGCCATTGATGGCCTATAGGTCTTCACCTAGGGGTAGGACCTTGTGAAATTTCCCCATCTGTATTGGCATGTGGACTGGAATTATCATTTATGCAGGTCTTATTTAGACAACTATATTGTTTTATGTGCCAGCTTCTCTGATATGTCTGCGTATGCTACACTACGTAGCAGGATATGTCCTGGTCTTCTGGCTCTTACAATTGTTCTGTCCCCTCTTCTGGAGATCCCTGAGCCTTAGGTGTAGGGGTTGTGTTATAGACATACCAGACGAGATAAGGCATCCCATGGTGTGTTTATACAGCTCTTAAATCCTTTCTGCCTCCTCTTCCATGATGTCCCTTGAGTGATGGAGAGGGTAATATAAAAGTAGAGTCAATAATTCCGCCTTCACTTATTAAATTCTTTTTATTTTCTCACAGTTTTTTAATAACCATGATTTTTTTGTTAAGAGTATAGTAATTTTTATTTCATTTATTTTGTTTTACCATAGCATCTATAATAGAGTAATAGAAATATTAAAAACAAAATTAACTGGCATTTTGAGAGCTCCTGGGAGAGGGGGAGTCAATTTTCTTTAATGGTGTGATTCCTGGTAGGTAGACCACACTCAAGAATAGTAGGGGGGCACAAGTTGGACTTGATGAGTAAAAACAAACAAACAAACAAACAAACAAACAACAAAAACAGAAGAAAACTCAAAGTTGGGTTGGAGGAAGGAGTTGGGGAAGGGTATGTGTGATTATGATCAAAACAAATTGCATGGAGTTTTTATAGAATTAATAAAAACGTTATTTAAAGAAACATAGTTAACTGCACAATAAACTGATTTTTAAATTAATTTCCTTAATTCGTAAGATTTGGACTAATCTAGAGATTGTGTGTGCTGTTGCCACTCAAGTTTCACAGAGCACTGAGGACATTTTGTTTTACTGGCAGTGCTGGAAGTCACTTGGGTTTGGGCAGTGTATTTGGAGGTTAACCTGAGGAATCTGTGTGTGTCCCTGTGCAGCGCCCGTTCTTCCTGGAGCTTACCAGCAGAGTCATTCCCAAGGCTATGGGTACATGCACCAGACCAGCGTGTCATCCATGAGGTCAATGCAGCATTCACCAAATCTAGTAAGTGCTGATTTCAAACCTTCTTGCAATCGGGGAGTATAGCTTGGTGGTAGAGGGTTTGCCTAGAATGTAAGGTTCAGAGCTCAATCCCTAGCACTGGAAAAACAAAAAAGAACCCATCACATTATTATCTGTGTAGTTCTTTCAGTGGAAAAAAAAACCATTACAGAGGAAAAGTGATGAGAAACAATGACATTAATAAACATCTTCAAACAATAAAGCCAACAAGACATCTACCAGTAGGTACCAGAGACCCTTTTAATGTTACTTTTATGTTACTGTGATAAAACACCATGACCAAAAACAACTTACAGAAGGAAGAGAGTATTTGAGCTTGTTTTCCAGAGGTATAAGAGCCCATGCCCAGGGCAAGGAGGCATGGTGGCAAGAGCAGGGAGCTAAGAGGTCACATCTCAACTGTAAGAACAAAGAAAAAAACTAATCTGGAACTAGGGCAAGTCTATATTCTCTCAAAGTCAATTGTCAGTGACATATTTTTGATAGCAAGGACATACCTCTTAAACTTTGCCACATTTGGAGATCAAATACTCAAATACCTTAGCCTATGGAGAACATTTCTCATTCCAACCATGACTGGAAAGATCTAGCTATGCTCTTCATCCAGGACTAAGAAGTTGCAGGTATGTGATAATTTATGTCAAAGACCTAATCTTCATGTTCATCATAATGGCCTCAGAAGTCTAATGGACATGATGGAAGCTTAAATGTTCTGAACACAAAGAAATAGCAAATAGCTATTCTAGTTACTTTGATCTGGCAGAAATTGTAGCCAGGTATTGAAATACGATGCTATAATCCCAAATCTGTACAATTACTGCATGCAATCACTGCATGTCAATTAAAAGTCAATGAATAACAGTATCTGTCAAACATCCCTGTTAGAAGTCTTGGAGTACTCATTATTCAGTTTGAAGTTCAGAATGATGCTTGCTTTGTGGTCATACTCGGTGTTTTGAAATTGCTTCTCACAATACTTAGAAGGAGAGGATGTTCTGAAAGACAGCCAAGTGCTTTTAGGTCCAGTGTGTGTCAGCCAGTTGCCTCCGTCTCCTTAATCTATGAATATTTTTGGCTTTGAGATTTACTGATTATTAATATTATATGAACTCTCAGCCTTGAACTAAAACAAATATAAAGACACAATTTAAATGTTTTCACTATAACAAAATTTTTCTTTATATGTACATCAAAAATCAGAACAATTCTGTAGGAAATTTATGACACTGTGATTTGAAATATGTAAAATTTAAGTAAGTAAATTATTTCTTTTATATATTTTTAAGAGGGAACAAAAATTCTTTGTACTTATTTAGGAAAAGTTCATTTTCTGTGCAAGGGGGAGGAGCCATTGGCAGAGAACCAGTGGACTAAGGGCCTGCTGTTAATGGGGTTAATCTCCTGAAGAATGAGGGAACAGGAGGAAATCTGCATTCTCTAAGGCTTCTGGGATTATCTGCACATGGGACCTGGTATTACTCTTTCAAAGGCTACTTTTAGACAAGCACACTTTTATTTATTGTATCTCATTGTTGTCTTTTCAAGTTAAGCTATTGTGTCATCTTTTGGGACCTTTGCTTTGATCTTAAATATGTTTCCTTGAGATGAACAAAGTTGAGATTTCTAGAATTATGTGGGACACCTGGTTTACAACTACCCAGAGATAGCAATGCCGTCAAGCCTTCATACTTACCGTCTGTGTGGTGGTTTATTGGGACCCAGACTCGTAACTGTGACTACTGTAGAATACAACACCCAATCACTTCTTCCTTTCTCAGAGGACCTACCGAGCCATGTACGACTACAGTGCCCAGGATGAAGATGAGGTCTCCTTCCGAGATGGTGACTACATTGTCAACGTGCAGCCCATTGATGACGGCTGGATGTATGGCACCGTGCAGAGAACCGGGAGAACGGGCATGCTCCCGGCAAATTATATTGAGTTTGTGAATTAATTCTTTCTCCTTGCCCTTTGAGCTTTACTCTGATGTATTCTACACCCAGTCTTTTTAAAAGATAGAAGATACTTTTCAGATAACTTGGCAATTATTTTACAATAACGTATCCTTACTTTGACAATTAGACACACAGGTACCAGGGAAAGGGAATGACTTTTGGGCTGGAAACAGCAGCATCCATAGTAATTCCTGTAAACAAAACCATTAGGTCTGGAGACCTGGTGCTGCTAATTGTGTTTGTGGTTTCATTTAATTGGCTATTCAACCCTCCTGGGACATGTATTTTTGTAGACTTTAATAGAGATGTTGATTGTCCCTTAAATGTAACAAGTGTATGAAACTTCTTAGCTGTCACTTGGAATCATCTGAAGCCAATTCTCATAGTCCAGCAACACAGCCAATAATCTAAAAACTGTTCAGCTTTTGAAACATTGGGTAATTTTCAATTCAGATGCGAATTGCCCAGTATAATAAATGGAAACAGTGGCAGAATGAGTCTGATTAAAATCATATTGACTGTAGCCTTAGGGAGCAGGCAGGAAACTTGCCCTTTTCCTAGGCTCACCAGGATCTAGTTATTTCTCATGTGTTTCATGGTATCGCCTATCTCCATTTACATTCTGTGGAGCGGAGCATGTGCTCAGGTCCTCAGAATATCAGGACCAGGTAACTTCACAGCTACTCTGCAAAGGGCAAAGTCAATGTCATCTGTATTATTTCCCTAGTAGCCTCTATCCTGTTGCATGTCTCGTGGGCTTAAGCTTCTGTAACATGGCAGCTGCTTGCCCATCCTTGTTATAAAAGTCAGCAGTGTGGCTGATCTCTCCCTGCCCTTCCTTCTAGCTGTCAGCTCACCAGAAAACATTTTGAAAAGTTGCTTGAGACTTTCTCGCTGTATTAAACTCTAGTTTTGAAAGACTCATGCCTTAGGGGAAATACACATATACTCTAGTAAATAGGAAATTTATGTATTTACTGGATAGCTTTCACTCACTTAATACCACCATTGATTTGAAAGTGAAGTGAATTCAACAGCATCCCATGTAAGGGGGAATGGCCTATTCAGTATACTGGGAGAAAACCAACACAAAACAGTAAGCAGAAGTTTGCTCCACAGTTAGATGACTTGGTCTTATATTTTGGCAATTGGTCTTCAGACTCTGGCATGGAAATATAGCTACTAAGTATGTTCATAAAAAGGATTCCTTTTCCCACCCTGCTTTTTGTTTTCTAAATCACCTTTGGGATTACATATAAGAAAGTCAGCAGTGATCAGATCAGCAGATGATTTATTAAGAAGGAAATAGGTGTCTTGTGTTGAGTGAGTGTGCAGGGTTTTCATAGTGTCACAGCCCCAAGTAGAACCATTACTATTGTGTCTTCAATTTGCTCTGGAGTCTGCAGTCGAAGTTAGTGGATGTTGATGTTTATCACAACTCTGTTTTTCTCATGGTGCCTCTTACTGTGACTTGAAGCAGGGTGGCATTTGTGTGAGATCTGAAACTGAAGAAAGCAGAGTCACAAAACTGTAAGAAGACACTGCGATTGTGGGACTATCTACACAATATGTTCAAGGAAATTAACAAAGCACCCACCAGTGAAAAACGTTTGAATGAAATGTTTGTGAGGCCAAAGCTCCAAGTTGGTTCATTTAAACCTTTGAAAAGTGAGCCCGTACTCTGGAAAATCAGTAGTTTCGTTAGATTTGCCTTAAAGAAAAGTTTTATTACACTGAGCTGTGTTTCTGTGACACTGATAGAAAACTGAAAAGAAAAATAACTAGAGATTTTCCTGGAAAGGGTTTTATAGACTTGTAAATAAACAGCTTACCTAATTTCCTGTCATTTAAATAGCCAGTCATGATTAACCTTCCTGTTTTCATGTCTTGAACACACACCTACAAAGACAAACTGCACTTGCAATAATTTTGCAAACATCTTTACACTAATAACAAGGGTGATAAGCTGGCTCATTTATGTTGTGTCTTTATGCTTTCCCAGGCAGACCATGTATGTGTGTGTGTGTTTGTGATTATTAAAACAAAAGAGTAGTTGTTGATTAAAACTTCAGGCTAAATGCAGGGCAGGTATGATTTTTGGTAATAGTGTGTGTGCAGGAAGCTCAACCGAAGTCGACTTTGAAATGATGCTTAACATCAGCTAGTCCTCACAAAGTAGCAGCTCAGTGGTCCATGTTCTTGCCACTCATTCATTTCAAAGTCAGACTTGAATGTGAAAGTCAGTACACATTTGGGAAATCCGTGTCCTAAATGTTGAGCCTTACATAATGTTTGCATAGCAAGATTTTTCTGTTTTAAGTCCTTCAGAATTAAGATCTGATCTGGATTCAATAAAGGGCAGTTTTTTTTCAATACCAACTGAGGCAGAACAAGACATTGTATGCTCTTGAGGTCATGCATTGATAGACTAGACACTGTTACTAGCACTTGTAAGGATGTTACCCATCTCATCAGAAAATCTGAGCATAGATGTGTCATACCCAGATGCCATCTTTTGGAGCATCATTTTAAAAAATGCTATATTCTTAACACACTTTCCACATGCCCCCCTCCCCCTTGCTGTTTGGCAGCCAGTATCTCACATGTAACACTGACAGCTATGGATGAATTTGAAAACAAGTCCATTAGAAATCAGATTAAAGGAACCTAAACGCCAGACACAGAGATCACGCATCTGTTCCTAAATGTGATGGTTTCTCAAGCCTGATGGAAGCACAAGAAGCCACCTGATACACTTCTCCAAGTCTCTGAAGACAAATGTATTTGGTTCATGTTCCTCTTGAGAAAAGTTTAGCAACAGAATATAATGCCTTCGTTGTAAGCTTTTGTAGTAGATTTAAAAAAACATATTTGTTGTTCTCTGGAGAACTTTCTATTTCTAACCTGTGACAAAATGAATACTTCGTGTCTTCATTGTGTTTGCACATCTGCAGCACACCCAGTTTGAAATCTGGTTGTCATTCTCCATGGAGTCCTTGCATCTTCCCATGTCTCTCAGCCTCCACAGAGCACCCAGGAATGTCTAAGCACAATTTCCACAAGCACCTTGTGTGGGGATGGGTGAGATTATGAGAGTCCCTCCCTTGTCAAGGCCCTTTATTTGAAGATGTTAAAGATGCCATTTGGCCAGTTTTACTGTAGTCTTTCATTTTAGGTCCTCTCTGTGCTGGGGTTCATAACACTCTAAGAATGCTGGGAAAATCTTTTCCACAAATGAAAGCAAAGGACACACCCAGTTTTCAGGTTCCTCCACCTCTAGTGGAATACTTTCAGTGAAATGATAAAGAAAATAAGTGTGATCTTTAATAACACAGCCCTATATACAGTGGATATAGTTTATACTAATGTTATAATATAGATATATACAAAATAGGTGCCTTTTGATTATACTTGTTTATCATTATGGTCTTGGAAAGGAAAGCAAGCAAGCAAGCTTCTGCATATTCTATTACAATATTTTATGATACATGATTGATATTTTTGTGGTGAGAATTGAGATGCCCCTACCTGGAAGATGTCACAGCTGGTTGTATATTCCTCCTAAAGGTTTAGAACTTTAGACAATATTGACTTCTTCCATTTTCTGAAAAGTTGGGATTTTTTTCTTGTGGATGTATATGTAGTTGAAATATATAAGCATTAAGTTTGTTTGGGGTTTAAAATACTTAGGTGAGATAGATTAGTTATATTATGAGGCTGAATTCACTGAGTAAGATGAGCTTTGTGGCCTGATTATGTTTATGTTTTAACTGTTTGCCTTTGATAATCTGAATGTGGCTACATTTGCACTTGTATGAGGTAATACAACGTGGTGATAAAGCTTCAGTTAGGTAGGAAGCTATGTAAACTAATTTAAGATGCTAAAATGAAAGGCTCTCTGAAGTATTCTGTGCCCTGTAGGGCCCGTTTCCAGGCAAGTAGCTGTCAATAACTAATGATCAAAAAAAGTTAAGACATTGTGGGAAACTTCTGTGGTCATCATTCCAGGATGCATAAGACTACTAGAATCCTCGGGCCTAGAAGGCTCCCTGGACAAATGTCCTTCCCAACTGTCTGTGACTTCAGTATATCCACAGGACTCCATATGCTTACTGTGTCTGATATGTGGTATCCTGTTTGCATAGCATACATGTCGCTGTTGTTAACTATTGTTAAAGATGGTTTCCTTTAAAGGAAGGAGAGAAAAACTGCATTGCAACCTTCTTCCTTCATGTCCATACAATGAATTGCTAAGCATTTTGGAAGTAGCAACAAGTGTGTAACAGGCATGATATTTGTGGAACTGTTGGCTTTTGACCTGTGATAAAAACAGAAATTTGAATGATGTAGCTTGGCTTCTGTTTGCTTTGAAATATGCACAATTGTGGTTGGTGATTAATTTGTAAAGCTGTATTAACTTTGAGAACATAATGATTGTGAAAGAACCAGTAAATGTTTTTTCAATGGGAGGGGAATCACAGAATGATTTAAGGTTATTAGTATAATTTGGCTTTTGTTATGCAAATTGTTAACACCAGCTATTAAAATATATTTTAGTAGAAATGCTTTAATTCATGTTTTTTTCCTCTACACTGTGAATCTTGAAGCCTTGGTGGACCAGAGACACATTGTGATGTCCAAAGGACTAACCTATGCAAATGAGTTCACATCTTATTGATGTCACAGTAAACATGTGCTAAGAAATTATTTCTCCACATAACATGCAGCAGTATTGGAATAGCACAGGAAGCCTGGCCTCCCATGCATTACACTGTAGTCACTCACAATCCCTTCAAGGCCACCAAAACCATTAGCATTTGTGGGAATCCGATTGGTATCTATTGAAACTACTTTAATGATACCGGGAGGAAGATGACAGACAGGCATCTTGGCTGTGACTTTCATAGAACTATGTTCTCACATATACTCTCTTCGGGGTCTTGGTATTCTGTGTCCTCTATCTGTATTTGTAAAGCATTTATGATTCATTAATTTCCTATCAACACATTTGGTTTGCTTAAATAAATACAGGATGTAACAAAATTGTTCTACTTCTTGGCTGTCACCGTGGTTTCTCAGAACACAGGTCATTGGGTGCAGGCAGTGCATTGTGAGTTCCTTATAATGACTCGCATCCAGTCACATTAAAGATGTATGAAGGCATAGTGCATTCATTTAAAAAAGCTGTGCAGAGTGTGTTTTCCTTCTTTTTCTTGTGTTTTCCTTCTTCAAACCAACACAGTTTTAAGTAATAATAATATGCTTTTTAAACCCACAGTCTTTCTGATTTTATACCAAAGTATTGTTGTGATGCATCCTGGTACTTAACTTTTTTCAAAACTAAAATCATCACTAGTTCAGTGTTAGTTTACTTGTAAGATGAAGGAAACAAAATGGAGGAGGGAAGGGGCACAGATGATATTCTGATTTTCCATCTAAGAATAACTCTTTATCATAGATCGTAATTGCTTCCTTTATCATAATTGAAAAGCAAGCTAGCTCCTATTTTTACCCTCATCTACATTTCAATAAATTGGATCTTGGCTTTATTGTTTCATTTTGTAAATGTCTCTAGCATAATTCTTCCAAACTGTAAACTGACAAACTTTGTAGACTGACAAATTTAAAACAGGTCAATCAAGAAGCATTGCTCATTGAGTAAACACCTCTACCAAATCTTTGAATGTTCTGTTTTTTTATATTCTATAAGTATGAATTGAATATCTTGGGTATTATGAATCAAACATACTCATGATATTTGACATTATAAAATAAATAACACAAGTATCTGTTTACTTGAAGAATTTACTGTCCCTTCCTTCCTCCAAGACTTTTTTATTTCATGATTATAATTGTACTCTTTGAAATCTGGGCCACAGAGGAAATGAATAACTGTCCTAGAATAATTTAGGTTTCAAATGTCTTAAGCTTATAAGTTTATTATTCTAATTTTAAAACTTGTGAAGTTAATTGAAATTAATTTAAGAATTGAGATGTGACTGAGCACTGCATGCTTACCAAAATAAATTTCTATAAAAATATTAGGATATAATATACTGGAAAATAGATGAAAGGAAAATTGCATTATTTTCTTTTTGTAATCTGCTTCTGCTATACACAAAGAGTTTTGTGATGGCAGAAAACTGGATCAAGCCCAAGGGCGAGCTTCAATTTTTTTTCTGTAGTTCTAAGCAAAATTCTTTGGCCTTTGTCTATTGTATTTTTATTTGTGAGCAGTAGAAGTCTGATGGAAAGGGGACAGTGAGAGAATGGACTCAAAGACTCAAAGTCAATAATAGAACAAAGGGCCCAGTTGCTGATTCGGGTTTATATCATGGCATTTTGACCTTTGTAGCCTTTTAGTAGACTAAAATAGAGTAATGAGTGAAATCTGAACATCTGTTACTTCACTTCAGAAAGGGAGGATGCCTCTGCATTCTTCCATCAGTTCTGAGAATGCTCTCAGTGAAGTGGTTTCTGACACTTGGTAGTCACACTTTTCACCTTTTTCCAGGGTGGTTGCTGACCAAAGACACATGTTCCAGATTGGTGCTCATTCTATGTGGGTTGCCACATTCTGCACAACATGAACTCAGGTCTCTGTCCACAGCTAATTAGATTAAGGTGACCCCGGAGGGCTGCCCAAGAACCTTTGTCCACCCATCAGGGATAAGAGTGGCAATCTATTTAGATATCCCAAATATGCCCGATTTTAAACTCTGATAGACAGAGAAGATGGTTCAATGGTTATATTATTGAAAACTGTTAGATATAGAAGTCAGGAGAAAGCATAACCTGTGGATAAGTGGAAAGTATGGATGAGGAAAACCACGAGAGAGGAAAGATACATGGAACAGACAGGGCAAGAATTAAAGAAGTGGTGGCAGGAGCTGTAGAGTGATGGGCAGAATGGATTCTTGTTCATGGTAGCCACTGTTTAGGAGAACTGATTTCTGCTACTGGGGCCTTGCCCGGGCTCCATTTGATCCACAAGAAGTTAGCCCATTTTCTCTGTATATGTCTGTTTGAGGCAAATCCTGTGTTTCCTTTCTGTGGTGTACAGAAGCTTTTTATTCTTTGGGAAGAGTTCCAGGTATACCTCCCTGCCTTATCACAGGTGTTTGATGAAAGCCTTTATGTAGGTCCTTTGTCACAGACTAAAGGCTCATATCCAGCAAATGGGGTGACAGGACAACACATGCTAAATGATGGTGAGATACACTTGGTGTCCTCCAAAATGAAACACTAAGTATCAAATGGGACATTATTATCACCAGTTGAATGTCACATGGGTTGATGTTCAATTTTATTCTTTCAACTTTTTTGTCTTTAAATTTTATTGTATCTCAACTTTAATTTGTGTTATAATTTCAATAGTCTACTGAAAATCAACTTATTTTTGTTCGTGTTTGTTTGAACCAAAGTCTCACTATACAGCTCAGATTGGCCTGGAACTCATTCTGTAGCTCAGAAAGTATATGAGCTGCAGTACATTCCCCAGATTCACAATCTTCCTGTCTCCATTTCCCAAGTGTGGGAGATTATAGATGTTTGCCACCATACCAGGTTGAAAAGTCACTTTAGTAGTTAAAATGTGTTTTCCTATGCCTTGCGAAAGGTGTCAGTAATTAATACTAAAATGAATTTAACTTTATTAAAGGCTAAGACAAGATTTGGGAAAGTTAGAGAATACCAGTGATTTTTTCCCCTTTATTTGTTCTGTTCTTTGATTTTTCTTTTTAATTGATTAATTTTGCTTTGGCAATTTCATACCTGTGTATGGTGCATTCAGTCTACTCTTACCCTCAGCCCTCTTGTGCAGTCTTTCACTCTGGTCATCCCGCTCCTCCCTTTTAGGTCCTTTCTCCAGAGACATGCCCTTTTTGGTTTGCTTGTTTTTTGTGGCTCATTGTTTTTAACCTAGATAGTCTGTGTGGCCACAGGTTCAAAACTGTCCATCAGAGACTGGTGGGCTCACTGCTTGGCACACAACTGAATACTGTAACTCCCTGCCAGTAGCAGGAAACCAGCAGGAAAGGATTAAGATTCCATGAGATCCTCCCAGTCTATGATTGGCTGTCAGCAGGCCCCATTTTTTGCAGGTCCAGTGCAGGCAACTGTGACTGCTGTGAAATCATGTTTTCACTGGCTCTGCCATGTCCTGAAGACAGCATTTCTCCCTATCATCCTGCTCTTACATCCTCTCCGTTCTCTCTTCCACAAGATGAAGATGTTCTCTGAGACTTAGATGCGATTGTATAAAGATCCTCTTTAGGCTTTACCTTCTAAGCATCATAAGCAGCCATGAATCTCTTCATTCAGCTCACTTCACTGCACAGAGAAGCTTCTCTGATTAAAGATTACAGTAGCATTTGTCTATTGGTATTAATAATTTAGGCTACAGTTTGATGCCGTGTGAATTTAGCCAAACATACATGGCAAGGTCCCTCTTCAGGTCTATGACTCTCCAGCCATGGGGTTTTGACTGGGTTTACAGTACAATGTATGCATTCCCTCCTATGGAGTGACCTTAGATTTAATCCATGAGCAGAAGTAGTTGGTTACCTCCATAACGGCTATGCCACTATCACTGATTTCTAAGATATTTGACCAAGTGTGGAATGGCTATAGGTCAGCTATAGGATTGAAGTTGAAAACTTAATAAATGGCAGACATTTATTAAGAAATCGATCTTCCAAAGCTACTGAGTGACTTCAGAGTTCAAGTGTATTCAAGGCACAGAGAAAAGGGACTTTCTCTCCAACCATTAAGGTTGATAGCGGGGGACTGAAACCAAACAACTAACTACACATTTCTGTAATTTTGATTACTTAGTTACAGTTTGAGAGACAGTGAAAGGGAAGCCCAGAGCACTGTGAATTCTTAGAGTGCGAAGGATGAAGTATAGGGTGCAGGGAGGGTGTGACCTGAGCTCTGAAAGCTGTGTGAAGAGCAGACAGTTGAAGTCCTTGGCAGCACTGGGCGTTTGGGGAGATTCAGTCTCCAGGGGACAGTAGCAGAGATATACCAGCCTCCTCTCAAATTTTACAAAACAGTGGCACACTATTCTCACATTTAATAAAATGAAATCTTTGGTGGAAAGACGATGCTGTGTGAACTTGTGTGCTCGCATAACCTTTATTTCTCTAATTATGACTTCTTCCACTCATAGAAGACTCAGGAAGGTGTTGGGTTAACTGTATAAATAAAGCTTCACAGTGTGGTGTACCTTCTTGGCGTAATCAGTTATTACACGGGTTTTCCTGTCTTCCCACTACCCTCCCCCACTATGGTTTTGGAAAGTGTGTGTCGACTGGACCTCATCTAGTATTGTCTGCAGTACAAGCATTGATTGTCGTACACTCTGCCTTGTTTTAGAATTCACGGATTCTGAGACTGTCATTCATATGCAACACACAGTGTGAGTTAGGTATGCCACTTAAATGGGCAATGCAGGGGAAAATTATTCACAATTCAAGAAAGTTGTTGATGTTTATTTAGACTACCACCTTCTTCCAAGGTAGGTCATAGTCTTTTTTTTTTTTTTTTTTTAATTCTAGCAAGAGTGTTGAATATACATCTCCTTTAAAAGCCTGACAAGGTACTTGCATATTATAGGTTGTTGAATCTGAAATCATTGATTGGCCATATTTGATTCCCTTAATCAATGCCTAATGAGAACACCTATTGGTATTTATACACATTTCTTGGCATGTACATTTTTCTTTTAGAAAGAGCTTCTGGCTTCCAATATTGTGGCACATAAAGTGATTTATGGGCCTCAACACCTTTGCTATTTATGGAAAAGTAGCTCTAATTTTGAAGTGTCCTGCTTGTATTGGAACAGCCAGTTCCATTTAAGTTTTTAAAAAGGGTTTTTAAATTGAAGTAGAATTACATTAATATTTTCATATGATTTGTTTTGATCGTGATTTTTCCCCTCCCCCAACTCCTCTCAGATCCTCCCCACCTCCTTTCCTTGTTGCAGTGAAGTCCACCTGGAGCAGGGAGGAGAATGGTTGCTCATCTACACATGCCTTTCTTGTACAGTG